GGGGGTTTTTCCCAAAGGGGAACTATCCTCTGATCTGGAAAAGCCCCGAAATAATGGGTTTTTTTAGTATTAAGGAAAAAAAAAAAAAGTTACCGCAGTTGCTCTGACCCCTAGCGCGTGCTGTGCGCTGGGTCAGGGGCGGGAAACGGCCGCGCCTAGCGTAAGCACCGCGTGTAGCGCCGCGGTCCTCGTGCGTCGTCGTCTGATGCGCTTTGTCTGTCATCTCTTTTAGCTTTCCCTCCAGCGAGGGAAAAAAACAAGGAGAGAACCGCACACCGGTGACCGGCAGGGGTGTGACACCGGGCAGGGAAAGGGGTGTTAAACCGGGGATGGGCAGGGGTGTGTGACATCGGGCATGGGCAGGGGTATAATCCTGGGCATGGGTGTTACATCGGGCACGGGTAGCGGGGGGGGAAAAAAAAAGAGAAGTCTGTGTGAGAGAGAGAGCGATGGAGAAAGATAACGGGAAAGTCACTTGATAAAGATTTTTCATAGATGCGCAAAAAATTCTAATACCCGACACGGCGAGACTTCCTATTACTTCTGAAGAGTGCATGCCATAAGCTACGGTTTCACAAGAGAGTAAGCGCTCCTAAGAGACATTTCTCGTAAGATGTACTTTTCCCGGTTGATTTTTACAATAGATGTCTTTCCTCAACGACCAGCAAAGAACAGGCTCCGTGAACAGCATCCAGAGCTCAAGACCCAGTGAAACACGCCGGGCACTGGCGGCGGGAGGCAGCGCGGCGGCGGTGGGGGCGCGGAGCGGGCGCGCTGTGCCCCGGGAGGGGCGCGGTGGCAGCGGGGGGCGCGGGGACCCCGTCTCCTCATCGCACGCCCTGCCCTCCCTGCGGGGGGGGGAGCCGGTGTCTGTCCCGGGCTCTTCTGCCTTCTAGATCTCAGCTCCTGAGCCGTAAAACCCACGGAAATTACCCGAAGTGGAGGTAGGGCAGGGTAATCTTTAACGTATGAATATATAGATGTAAAGCTTGAAGACTCGCATCAGCCTCCATCACGCTGCTGCTTTTACTGTGATTTTTTCTCAGATACAGACAAATGCTTCATCTGTTGAATGCAGATACTACAATGCAGAACATTTTGATCTCTGTGAATACATTTAAGGACAGATATACATGCCACACATAGCAGGAACGCACTCCGTGAATGGTAGGTTCTGCCAGCGTGGATGTTCGCTTCACTGCAGAAAGTTTTCTTTAAAATGCAAAGAGCAGTGATGGGTGCTGCTTTCCTCCCGTACCCTCTGTGCCTATCTTTGCGACTGAATAGATGCTGCAGAAACAGAAAACACGAATTTTCAAAATCCTGCCACAGGGAACACCTGGTGAGAAAAGTTTAATTAACTGAATTCCTTCTTCCCTGAATCAACTTCTGCGGCACAACAAAATTTAAATTTGAATGTTGTTTTGGTTTATGGTAAAATGAATAGGCACAGAAATAAAGTTGAGTGCATTCCGGTGGTATTAGATGTTTCAAGAACATGGGTTTTTGCATACAGTTGGAAACACATCTTTCTGTCCTACTAAGAGAGAATTTAAAAACAAACATTCAAACAAACAAAACCCTCAAAACACATTTATTGCATTGTATGGGCTGTGCTAGTCTGCCAGAAATTTTCAGCTATGGCTCATCTGTCCTAGCACAGAGGTTAGATTAGATAGTCACTCACACTCCCCTCTAGTCCTAGCACAGAGGTTAGATTAGATAGCCACTCACACTCCTCTCTAGTCCTATTTTCTATTATTTCCATGATGTAGAAAGACCAATCTGCTGCCGATTTTGCTCTGTGGGTGTTCTGCAGTTCAGAAAGCTCTATGAATGAGAATCATATTTCATAGATATTTTCTAGTGCCTACTCTCTGTCACAGATTTCTTCAATAGTGTAATTGCCCATATTCTTATGTAACTGGAATTTATAGGAATTAAGTTTTATTTTTTCCTCAGGAAGAGAGTAATTGCCATTTTTCCTGCCATTAGATCTGTGATCACCTGATTGTTGCCTTTTTTTTTTAATGCTGACATACTAATTATTAGTGATTTCAAGAGGATGATATGTATGGTATGTTATGGGCCATAATCCTTTTTGTCATTCCTCTGTTTTCACCTTTTTTTTTCTGGAAAATGACAAGGCAGAAACTTCAGTGTTGAATATTTTCTTTGCTTTCTTATCACGTTGAATGTTCTTGACATACTATCTTCAAGTCCCCTGGATCAGGAACAACTGAGCTTGGATAATTATATTTTTTCTCAGTAGAACTGAAAGGTCTTCTGTTTCTCAGATGCTCCTTTACTTACTTTTTCTACCTCTTTTCTACATTTGTAGCTTCTACTGCTCCATTAAGAATTGCATAGTAGGAATTTTAACCCTTTCAATAATTAATTCCCTAAATCACCTTGACTTCCTCAAGTCATCTTCATATCACATTTCTCCTAATGAGAAATGTGCTCCAGAGAAGCTTTTATAAGAAAAAAAAAACAAAAAAAACAAAAAACCAAAAACACCTCTTTGCAGATCAGTTTCTCTCTTTCTCTCCCTCTTTCTTTTTAAATGTTCCTCAGCTAAAGAAAACATTTATAACTGTTCATTACTGTCAGTCAGCTTGGGAAACTCAGTTTATCTTTACTTGCCCTCAACATGTGATTTAAACAGCCTGTCCAGGCCTATAAATCAGCTCCATTCACAACTGTGAGCCATCTGAAGGTAATGAAACAATCAAGCAAATGGCAGATTCATGAAAGAACAGATACATGAACCTCTATTTACTTTGTCACTGGCACATAAAACTACCATCATAATATATGGATGACACCAAACACAAAAGATGTAATCACCAAACAGAAGGAGAAAACCATTCTGCTAATGATCCTGCAGTAGAAGGTACTGGAGACTATAACAAGGAACAGTCGATGTTCCAGTTAGCAGTCTTATGCCTTGGGAACAGAAATAAACACAGTGAGAATGAATGGAAGGCAATTCAAGCTGATCAATCTTGTCATTAAATATATTAATGTCTGAGAATTGTTTTGTGGATTTTTTAATTTTTTTATGTTTTTTATCCAAACCTTGTGGTAGTTATAGAAATAATGGAAACTAGAAGAGGAATCATTCTGGAGGTGGTCAGCAAGACAAAATTTCATACAGCAAACTGGCTCAAGATATTCACTCACAATCTCAAATTTGAATTTAGTTGTGTCGATTAAGCTGCTTTGCCCCTACAACAGTTTGGCTATCAGCAGTTTAGGTTAACATGCTGAGTAGAAAACTGGTGACTCAAATTAATTTCTATCAAGTCAGCTCAAGGGACAATAAGCTCAAGCAAAGCAGCAGGACAGACAAGGAAGGGTATTCAAAGCACATTTAAAGAACAGTCAGAAACTGCATCTGAATTTCCCAAGCATTGTGAGTTCTCAGCATCTCTTTCTCTGAGCTTAAAATACGTCTAGGTTTTTTATTCTGTTTGGTAAGGACAGTGATGCTCAAAAAATGATGGTGTATTCAACTGCTGAAAATCCTGGACATCACCTGTGCTGCAGAGGATATCAGAAAAAAATTCAAAAGTAAAAAAGAGATGATGCTTAACACAGTGGATCATTCCTAACTAAGTAAACATTAAGCATTCTCTCTGCTTCAAATCCAGTCTTCTTTAGCCATTCTATGACTCAGTTTTTTAGATTTGTGAAGTTGTGCACTTTACAGAAACCTTGAGGAGTCAACTGAATAATATTCAAGAACTTACTGCTGTAGAAAAAAACACATAAGCAACCACATTATTATCTGAATCAGAAATATTTCTTAATATGCAGCAAATCTATGCCACATTTGTAAGGAGCTGCAATTCAGCAGAAACTTCTTGGACATCTAATGAGCTATTTCTTTATTCTTTAAAGTTCCAGAGTCAGAAACTGTGAAAGTGGCATTCTGTGTAGCCTCTACATATGAGGTCTACATGCATGGCAGAGCTTTTTTCCTTGATGCTTTGACGTTTCAAACAGTAACAACATCTCAGTACCCCAGGGGATCACAATTCTCAAATCACAGAAAATTTTAAAGTATCATCTCAACAGAATGATCTAAAGTATCATTTCTTCTTTTGAATTCAATTTTTTTTTTTCCATTAAAACACAGCCATTACATTTTCAAGACTTTGAGATTCTCTAACCCATCTCATGAAAAAACCAGATTCTATACTTTCATTACTATAAAGCAAATACAGCATGTATGCATCTACACACCTACAGTTAAAAGTACTAAAAATGTGAACCTTTTGGTCATATGTATATGTAACTGTTTGGAAATTGTTTAAGAAAAGTCATTTTGGATAAAAAAGACCATAAGAAAACAATCTTCCCTCCTACTCCTAATTTCTATTTCCTTTTTTTTGCTTTTACTGGAATTCTCCTATCTGAGAAAGCAAATAGTGCAGTTAGAAGTGCCACCACAGTGTGTCATGGGAGTTATGCTTTGGGCACCTCCTCCTTACTTTCACCTCTCAGCAATGCATTCCCAGGCCAGACTGCATCTTTCTCTTTTCTCTGATTACACATTTTCTCCGAATACCTAAGTTAATCAATTTTTCATTTCTCTCCAGTGAGCTATGAATATTTTAATTTAAGTTTCAGGATATAATATATACAATGGACATGGGTGAAAAGCTTGATACAACTTTGTTGAAGACTGCATATTCATGTAATCCCCTGTTCATCAGAGTGATCATGCTTTGAAAGTCTGTGTTAAACAGATGAAATAGTTACAAGATGCAAATTTATTGTTTTAATAGTGTTACAGTTG